TTGAGACAACCACATTCTGTCAACCAGGCAGCTCACTGCAACCTCTGCTTCCTGGGTTCAAGTGACTCTCGTGCCTCAGCCACCTAAGTAGTTGGGATTATAGGCAAACACAACCACACCTAGCCAATTTTTGTGTTTTTAGTAGAGACGTGGTTTTGCCAACGTTGGCCAGTTTGGTCTCTAACTCCTGACCTCAAGAGATCTACCCACTATGGCCTCCCAAAGTGCTGGGATTACAGGCGTGAGCTACTGTGCCTGGCTGTAAGTCTCTTTTTAGATCATAAACTCTTCTTATTGTACCTAGCTGTTAGTGAAAACAAATTATAAGATTCAGTGCCAAGAGTTTGGGTTTTGTTTTTTGTTTTTTAGACGGTGACTTGGTCTGGCATGCAGTTGTGTGATCTCGGCTCACTGCTGCCTCGACCTCCTGGGATCAAGTGATCCCCCTGCCTCAGCCTTCCAAGTAGCTGGGACTGTATGCGTGCACCACCATGCCTAGCTAATTTTTTGTACTTTTCATAGAGATGGGGTTTCTCCATGTTGCCCAGGCTAGTCTTGAACTCCTGAGCTCAAGTGATCTGCCCGCCTTGGCCGCCTAGTGTTAGGATTACAGTCATGAGCCACAAGAGTTTGGTCTTATTTTTCAAGAAGATCCGCTTGGTTTTGGAAATGCCTTGAATTTATTTTCTTTCTGGAAAGCCTAATCTTTGTATTATTTACTTCTGTTTGCAGCATGTATTTACCATGTTGATCATTATACATTTATATAAACCTATGACAAAACCTGCCACATCTTAAGTGCTTAATACATACTTGTTGAGTATATATGTGTTTTGGGATTATGAAGTATTTACAATCATAGTTTATCTTACCCTTTCTAATACAATATGAGAAAATACAAAAACATTGTTTAAAATCATAAAGTAACATAACTTTACAGAAAGTTTTAAAAAATTGATACAAAAATCACATGCAAACATACCACTTCAATATAACTAATATTATTTTAACATATTTTCTTTAATAGTTTTTCTATTTAAATGTTATTTAGCTGTAATTATAATGTAGATGTAATATTTTTGGCATCATAAAAGGCAATTTTCTCTGTTTTCCCAACATTTTAAAAGCAACATTTTCAAACAAAAGTTGAAAGACTATTACACTGGGCATCTGTATAACAGCCACTTACATTCTACAGTTGTAAACATTTTACCATATTTGCTTTATCACATATACATTTGTTAATCAACCCATCTTATTTTTTGGGTGCATTTTAAAGTAAGTTGCTGAGAACAGTACATTTCCCCCCCTAAATGTTTTAGTGCGCATATCATTAACTAGAATCCAGTATTTTATTAAAGTTCTTTTTTGAGGTAAGATTTACATATGTACAATTTTTTGTACATACAATTTAGTATCTTTCCTTCTTTCCTTTTTCATCAGACATGTAATAAATATATTCTGGTGTTAAAAACATAGTTTTCATGACCACTATTTTATTTTTAGTTTTGTTTTTTTGAGGTGGAGTCTTGCTCTGTCACCCAGGTTGGAGTGAAGTGGTATGAGCTCGGCTCACTTCAGCCTCTGTCTCTCTGGTTAAAGTAATTCTCCTGCTTCAGCCTCCCGAGTAGCTGGGATTACAGGCTTGTACCACCACACCCTGCTTTTTTTTTTTTTTTTTTTTAGTAGAGACGGGGTTTCACCATGTTGGCCAGGCTGGTCTCAAACTCCTGACCTCAAATGATCCACCTGCCTCGGCCTCCCAAAGTGCTGGGATTACAGGCACGAGCCACCATGTCCGGTCATGAGCACTATTTTAAATGGATGAATACTGTTTCATCAAGGAAGTTTATTTGGCTCATGGTTCTGCAGATCGTATAAGAAGCATGGCACCTGCTTCCAGTAAGGGACTCAGAAGTTTCCAATCATGGTGGGAAGAGAAAGGGAGCAGGTATCACATGATGAGAGAGGACGAAAGAGAGAGGAGGAGGTACCAGGCTCTTTTTTTTAAGAATCAGATCTTGTAGTAACTAACAGACTGAGAGTTCACTCTTTACTGTGAGGACAGCACCAAGACAATGAGGGATCCACCTCTGTGACCCAAGCATCTCCCATCAGTCCTGCCTCCAACATTGGGGATCAAATTTTGATATGAGATTCCCAGGGGAAAAATATCCAAACTCTATTACATGCTGAATAAATCATCTGTTTAAACTGAAGTTCATCAGAAAAATGTGGAACTGTAGGTGAGAAAAGTGGTGTGGAAGAAAAGACTTTAAACTGACATACAATTTTGTACCATTGCTGTGCATAAATTAGGTTATTTTGGTGTATCCAGTTATTTTTGGTCTTAGTCATATACTGCTATTGATGTATTTATTATAAGATAATGGCATATGGCTTCTATCATACTCACCATAGCATACTGGGAGATTTAGGCCAGGGCTATGCCATATTGATCTCAGGCAATAGTACTACTGTATCTAGGACCAATTATTGCCTTCAGAGATCTCTTGCCAGAAACCAACCTATCCCCAATTGCATGTTTTGTATCTTCATTTTTTCTTGAGACACTATGAGCTTAATTTAGTTTTGTATCCTGTTGACTAGTTTCTACCTAATAGAAAGATAAGGCCCCAAAGAAACAAACTTCCTCCTAGTCCCCAGAACAAAACATAACAAAATAACAAATCAGTACGGTAAGTGCTACATCAGTTGTATAAGAAATGATGTATGATATCAAGGAATCTAGTTAGGAAATGAGACTAAGAACTAAAACATGGCTGGGTGCAGTAGCTCACGCCTGTAATCCCAGCACTTTGGGAGGCCGAAGTAGGTGGATCACCTGAAGTCAGGAGTTCGAGACCAGCCTGGCCAACATGGTGAAACCCTGTCTCTACTAAAAATGCAAAAAATTAGCTGGGCGTGGTGGCAGGTGCCTGTAATCCCAGCTGCTTGGGAGGCTGAGACAGGAGAATTGCTTGAACCTAGGAGGCAGAGGTTGCAGTGAGCCGAGATCAAGTAATTTCACTCTAGCCTGGGCAACAGAACAAAACTCTATCTCAAAAAACAAAAAAACCCCAAAAACTAAAAACTAAAACAATTAAAGAATAAATGATACAAAGTAATATAATTAATTGCCAAATTGTATACAACTTAATGAATATACGAGTTCAAAGAAGAAAAATCAATGTAGACTGCAATGGTTGCTGAAAGCTTCATTTGTGTTGTTGGTAAGACTGAAATGGATTTGAGTTACATAAAAACAAAGGGAGGAGGTATATCAGTGAAGCCAGCAGTATGAATAAAGACACATTGACAGGAATGAATAAATTTTGTTCAGGAAATAGTGAGATAATTAACAGTGGGTACGTTTTTGGGGGCAGAGGTAGAATGGGACTAGATTATGAATGGCCTCGAAATGACCCACAATAGTTACATAAGCATACAGCATTCAAGAATGAAAATACCGTTGGAGGTGGGCAGTATTTTAACTAGCTAAGGAAATGTTTCTCTTTGACCAGATTGAAGAAATAGCAGTAAACCTATGGAACTGGGCACTTACCAAGAGAGGAGGTTTTCATATAAACGAAGAGCAGAAAACTAAAAGTACGTATGCATATTGTGACTCGTATTATGAGGAGTGTTTTTACTATATATTGGGTAGTGTTCCTGCAGTTTAAATAATGTTTTGACCAGTTCTTAGATAGAGATTTGTTAAAAGACAAACAACCCACGCTGGTTTCCCAAACAAATGGCCCCCCTCAGTTTTATGATTTTTTAGAGGTTAGCTCCTTATTAACAAAAGTTTAAAGGTATCACCACAAGAAATAGTCCGGAGGTGAGCAACAAAGATGATTAAAAGGTGGGACAGTGAGAACTTAAAGAGATGTTAAAGGACATGGATTATTTCTCATGGAGATGATAAAAATCTTCATGGTTCTGAAGGACCATCAAATAGTAGTTTCCCCTCTATTAATAATAGAGTGATAAGTGTTGCCATGTGACAGATTTAGATTTTAAAAGAATAGTTTCCTCAGGAGGTGGATTGATAAACATTGGAATGAGTTACTGAGAAAAACTACAGAAATTCTTTCTACCTGTGAGAGAAAACAGCAACAAAAACCAAAAATCTCAAAGTAAACTCATCTTCTTGGATGCTTTGAATGTGGTCCACTGTCTGTCACTGTTCTAGTGCTTTAGCTAAATGGGCAAAGTCTAGTGTGCTGACAGTTACTGATTTTCAACAGGCATAGTGACAGCAAATGCATTTATGGGAAGTATTTGCCCATAAAGGATACATTGAAGTAACAAACCAAAGGGTGAACCTCTGGACTGCTTGACATTGTAAAGACAAATGACTTTTGTCTGTATGCAACAAATAGAATTTACTATTATTTATCTATGTGGATATAAACAAAACTGTACACAACTTCCATGTAGACATAGGGTAATTGTGCTTAGTATAATCAATAATAAACTTATGAGTCCACTCTATTAGCATGTTTAGAGAACAGTTCTAGCTCTTTAACTCTTAGATAAATTGATATCATTGCTCCCAGGAGATCCTGTAGTTATGGGGAGGTAAGAGCTAGGAATTGATCAGTGGAAGAAACCTTAGTACATAGGTGAACCGTGTGATATTAAAGTGCATTAATTCTTAACTCCTACCCTTCTGCATATGAAGAAATATTGCTTTAGCTGTTTAGTGCTTATCAAATACGGATATGGTGGATGAAGTGGCTATCGCAGCCTCTTCCCATGTACTGTGTCATTTCTTTCTTTTTTTAGGGAAGGCAAGGGATAAGGGCAGAATCACACAGTGTTGATGGGGTTAGGGCCAGGGAGATGAGAGAGCTAGGGAAGAGAAAAGAGAATGTTAAAAACAAAAAGGGGGGTGTGTAAGAGGGAAAAATACTAAACAGCAGTAAGGAAAGTGAGGAAAGTGGAGAAAAAAGGGGGAAGCAAGGAGAGGAGAAAGGCAAGAGGGGAGAGATGAAGAGGGAGAGGCAAGAGATAAGAAAAGGGAAGGATGAGAGGGGACAAGAGACAGTAAAGAAGAGAATCCCATGTACTGTCTCATTTCACATAGCAATTCTTAATCAGATATTTGGGTGCTTGTTACGTGTATCATACTTTTTTTTTGATATAGTGGAGAATAGGTTATTAGTGCAAGAGGCCTCCAACTTAAAATAATTTTATTCGAAAAATATGTTTATTGGAGGATATTTTGTTTCCTTAAAAACAAATTTAGTGTGCCTGGATTATGCTATGTGATGAAATAAGTCATGAAGATGTATAAGCTACAATTCTTTATTATTTGAAAGAATTATGGAACAATGAACAAGAAAGTCAGAAGTAGATGAATGACTTTTAAGTTTTAGTTTTAGACTTGTTGCATTTGAGATGACAGTAAGGTTGGAGATGGGAGAGTAGAGCTTAAAAGAAAGGTAAGGATTGAGCCTGTAGATTTGGCTATTATATATACAGTGGTGGTAGTTGAAGCCAGAAGAGTAGTTGAGGTCTTTGAGGGAAAAAATAGAAATAAAGAAAAAATAAAGAGCAGTGGTTCTTAAATATTGGTATAAATCAGAATCAGGCTAGTCGTGGTGGCTCACGCCTGTAATCCCAGCACTTTGGGAGGCCTGGGTAAGTGGATCATCTGAGGTCAGAAGTTCAAGACCAGCCTGGCCAACAGGGTGAAACCCAGTTTCTACTAAAAATACAAAAGTTAGCCGGGCATAGTGGTGCATGCCTGTAATACCAGCTACGCGGGAGGCTGAAGCAGGAGAATTGCTTGAACTCTGGAGGTTCAAGGTTGCAGTGAGCCGAAATCGCACCATTGCACACAAAACTCCATCCCCCACCCTCCCAAAAAATCAGAATCACCTGTGAAGCCTGTTAAAAATACAGATGCCCAGGCCCTACCATTGTTGGTTTTGATTCATTTAGGTTCAGGATAAAATCTGGGCATGTCTATAATTTGAAAAAATGTCTCAGGAATTCTCATGCACACCAAAATTTAAGAACCAGTGGTATTGAGAGAACAAAGTAGTGAGATTTTAACTCTGAATCTACCAGGTTGAAAGTTAAATAAAAAGAATAAGGAGAGGTGAACCAAAAGGAACAGTCAAAAAATTCGACAGGAGATTTGTTAGTCATTTATTGCATGGATTCTCCTTATATGCTTCTTGTACCATGTTATGGTACGTAGCAAGTGAAAGGGAAAAGATAAGATACCAGAACAAAGATACCAGTCATACATTATGCTTGAGGATTTGGGAAAGAATAGTTTAAAGCTAGATAAACAATAAATTTAAAAATTTATAAATGTTAGAGGGTACAACACTGTGTTTATCTAAAATGAATTCAAATTCAGGCAGGTAGAGCAGAGTAAAGTGAATGTTCAAAGGTGTCAGTCACCAAGTACCTAACTAAGATGGAGAGGTCAAGAACAGGCTGGTGAGAAGACAAGACGGAGGAACAACAACCAATAAAACATCTTTATATGGAAGTGTCATTCTGTTTCAGCCTCAGCCGCCGTTGGCTTTAAGACTTATTGGTGATAATTATAAACATCTGGATTACGAATGTGAGAATTTGAGCAGACAGAGATCTTAGACTAAGATATTTCCCACACAAGGACCAGGATATTTCAGGCTGAAGGAATATATATATATATATATATATATATATATATATATATTTTTCGAGACAGGATCTGGCTCTGTAACCAGGTTGGAGTGCAGTGGTGCAATATTGACTCACTGCAACCCCTGCCTCCTGGGCTCAGGTAAACCTCCTACCTCAGCTTCCCAAGTATCTGGGACTGCGGGCATTCACCACCACACCCCACTAATTTTTGTATTGTTTGTAGATATGGGTTTTGCCATGTTGCTCAGGCTGGTCTGAATCTCCAAGGGAGTGATGTTTTTCAAAAAGGTTATGACCATTACGAAATGTTGCTATAAATTTAAGGAAGGTGATCTTTAGGCGTGCAGTTTTAGTAAAGTGGTAAGGAGGCAAAATAGACTGAGGGCAATTAAGGAGATGAGTGAGTAGCAAGACAATAGAGGTAGTAGACAGACTTTTCAATTCAAGAAGTTTGTTAATGAAAGGAAGAGGAGAAATGGGATGCAAGCTTGAAGCATAGTGGGGTTAGTTGATTTTTTTTTCAAGGTGAGGAGATGGGGACATTTGAAGGTAGAGAAGAAGGAATAAACTGGGAGGGAACTACTCAAGATACTTTTAGAAAAGGGCGATAATTGGGCGTGGTGGCTCATGCCTGTAATCCCAGCACTTTGGGAGGCCGAGGCTGTTGGATCATGAGGTCAGGAGTTTGAGACCAGCCTGGCCAAGATGGTGAAACCCCGTCGCTACTAAAAATTCAAAAAAATTAGCCAGAGACGGTGGCATACACCTGTAATTCCTGCTACTCAGGAGGTTGAGGCAGAAGAATTGCTTGAACCTCGGAGGCAGAGGTTGCAGTGAGCTAAGATCGTGCTGCTGCACTCTAGCCTAGGTAACAGAGTGAGACTGTCTCAAAAGAAAAAAAAAAAGAAAGAAAGGGGAAATAATTGAGAGATCAGAGTCTGAAATTACTGAAGGATTAGCAAACTTTGGAACTTTGAAATAAAGAAGGGAAACATTTTATTTTTATTTATTTTATTTTATTTTACTTTAAGTTCTGGGATACATGTGCAGAACGCGCAGGTTTGTTACATAGGTGTACGTGTGCCATGGTGGTTTGCTGCACCTATCAACCCGTCATCTAGGTTTTAAGCCCCAAATGCATTAGGTATTCGTTCTAATGCTCTCCCTCCTCTGATTCCCCATCCCCTGACAGGCCCCAGTGTGTGATGTTCCCCTCCCTGTGTCCATGTGTTCTTACTGTTCAACTCCCACTTATAAGTGAGAACATTTGGTGTTTGGTTTTCTGTTCCTGCATTAGTTTGCTGAAGATAATGGTTTCCAGTTTCATTCATGTCTCTACAAAAGATATGAACTCATTCTTTTTTATGACTGCAGAGTATTCCATAGTGTATATGTGCCACATTTTCTTTATCCAGCCTATCATTGATGGGCATTTGGGTTGGTTCCAAGTCTTTGCTATTGTAAATAGTGCTGCAATAAACATACGTGTGCCTGTGTCTTTATAGTACAATGATTTATAATCCTTTGGGTATATACTCAGTAATGGAATTGCTGGGTCGAATGGTATTTCTGGTTCTAGATCCTTGAGGAATCCCCACACTGTCTTCCACAATAGTTGAACTAATGTACACTCCCACCAACAGTGTAAAAGCATTCCTCTTTCTCTGCATCCTTGCCCTCTGTTGTTTCCTGATTTTTTAATGATCACCATTCTAACTGGTGTGAGATGGTATCTCATTGTGGTTTTATTTTGCATATCTATAATGACCAGTGATGATAAGCTTTTTTTTCATGTTCGTTGGCCTCATATATGTCTTCTTTTGTAAAGTGTCTGTTCGTATCCTTCACCCACTTTTGAATGGGCTTGTTTGTTTTTTTCTTGTAATTCTGTTTTAGTTCTTTGTAAATTCTGGATATCAGCCCTTTGTCAGATGGGTAGACTGCAAAAATTTGTT